ATTGTCGACCATTTTTTAACACTCTTTGACTACATTCAATTAAAAGCTTTTTAGCAGTTTCAGCTGATATCATTGCTATTGTTGGATTTCTTAAAAGTATGGGCTTTGATGGATCAACAATAAAAAAATTTATGAATGTTCGTCGACGATTATCTGCTTTGGTTAGGTTACGTATTTGCCGAAAACGATGTGGCGTGGAATTATGGAAGACAATAGCAGCACCAGTACCAACATTCACTTCATAACCGGTTTCAATATCATAGGTATATTGTGGTGTCTCAGGTGGGCGAAATTTCAAAGCCCCACCCTCCAGTTGTTCGTCAACATGTATATAATAGACACTAACCGCCACAATATTCTCAGTTTGACCTTCGGTGTGCCATCGGCCTGAGTATTTCATTCCTTGAACAGCAAAAACCTCGAAGAATTGTGAGTATGATATGAAGACAAAGACGCTTAATACAATTTTGATCTTGATTTTCCTTATTTAACACCAACTACGCCATTGATATTGCAGCTAGTTACCGGTGTCCAATGAATGTGTTTCTTGCACTGCAAATAAAACCTAAGTTAAGGAGCTGCTTCTTCCAGAAATAGCGTTTTGTTAAAAACTTTACAAAGACCGCCCTCGTACGTCAAAGTAACCGTGAAATCTGTTTTGAGAATCTATACCGTTTTTGCTAGTGGTGAAGATTTTTGAATGCTCTCAAAACATTTGTAGTAATCTCCGAAATTATGGGTTTTTGTTTACTAATAAAATATCTGCATCATGAAACAAAGACGTTTTTTAGTAGATCCGGAATAGAATATTTTAGCTAAAACATCTACTGGTCTGGTCATTATTCTCTGTAAGTCTGAACAGGATTCGATATGCTACATAGATAATCATCTCATAAGAAGTACAGTACAAGCAAAACGGCTTTTCGACAGTAAGCTTTCTCAGGAGGTTTGTTTTGAGTGTGTTGAGTCGAGCAGAGTAGGAAGAGAACTGTGAAGAGAAATTCTGTGTAAGAAACGCTACGTTTTGACCACTTTTTTAGATAACTCTGAAAAAAGTCAAGTTTTCAAGTTTAAATGTTTATCCTAATCTAATGTGCGTAAGACTAACGTTGAACAGAAACTTGGTTACGTTCTCGTGTTTTGTGTCGAAAGTAGATTTCCGACACAGCTCTCAAAAGAAAATGTATTTTTTTTTTATTTTTGGAGCATGCGTTTATTTTGACGAAAACGTTCACTTGAGTTCGTTAGACTTTTCTCCATATTACAGCTGTAGCACACCTGATTTCATATTATAACTTGTAATTTTATTTCATCTTCATCTTGCTTATAACTAATTAAGCCCATTTTCTCAAACATTGGTATCATTTTACTAAATATTGTTGCTATATCACCATAAATTTGCCTGTTTTCTGGTATAACTGGAAGGTGATGTATGGGTGATAAAATATCAACTTTACCATTTGAAATTTGTTGGTAGAGCAGTTGGAAATAAGTATTTGTAAATCGAATATAGAACTGCTATGTTCTATATTCGATTTACAAATATTTACCATTTGACTTTGTTAGAACGATTTCTGATGGTAACCAGATACGTTTCACGTAGTTTAACATGTTTAGATAAATCATTGTACTTGGTGAATCACTGAGGTTGTCTCATGTCGGGCCGTAGTAATCTAGACTACTAGACCTTTTTTCGTTTTATACAAGATGCAGAAGCAGTATCTTCTATTATCAGGAGATGCAATAGGTTGTGCTGATTCCGAATATGTGCTTTGGATAGGGTAATATTGCACGTCTGTACATAGAAATAAGAATCCTTGCAGATGTGTCATATTTGACGGTGTTTTTTGTGAATGTTCGTAAGTTAACTTACTCATCGAAGGAGTTCATTACTAGTCGATCATTATATACCATTCGATAGCGCTTTTCAAGGACTACATTTAC